ACGCAAGGCAAGGGCACGACGCCGCCGTAGAGCAACAGACCGTGAAGATCGCCGCCTAAGATTATTGGCCTTAAGGGACCGTTTCTCCACTACCAGGTCCATTGCAGATGAATGGTTTGCAGAACACGGAAGACCTATTGGCATGCGAAGTGTTTACCGACGAATGAGAAGTTTTGGCTTGTTTTCATACCGGCCACACTGGGTCCTCCCTTTAACTCGAGAACACCGACGTAATCGCCTTGAGTGGTGCAGACAACGGTCACTCTGGGATCAGGAATGGAACAGTCTTGACTTTAGTGACGAGTCTCGATTTTGTTTAGGCATGCACGATGGTCGTGCTAGGGTTAGAAGGCGACGTGGTGAAAGGAGGAATCCACAGTTTTTTGTTGAAAGACATGTTCATCACACTGTTGGAGTTATGGTTTGGGGTGCTATAGCTTATGGTTCCAGGTCACCTTTAATCTTCATCAGAGGTAACATGAACGCGCAGCGTTATATCCACGAAGTTCTAGAACCCCATCTTTTACCCTATCTTGACACCCTGGCAGATCCAACTTTCCAACAAGATAATGCCCGGCCACATGTTGCAAGAGTCACAATAGACTTCTTTCAACATAATGATGTCACATTGTTACCATGGCCACCAAGATCTCCCGACTTATCCCCAATTGAGCACGTGTGGGATATGATGGGTAGGAGATTGCTCAATTTGCAACGTCCTCCTCAGACTCTAGAAGCACTTCGAGAGGAGTTGGTGGTTGCCTGGAATGAGATACCACAGGAGGACATTGTCCACCTGATCAGAAGCATGCCTAGGCGCGTTGGAGAATGCGTAGCACATCAGGGTGCATCCACACATTATTAAAGGTCAAAGGGCTTTAAAGCAGTGCAATCATTTTGAAATTTTTATCATTTACTTATTATGCTTCATTAAGTACTTATACAAAATTTTATTAAAATAAAACCATTTAAACTGGGTGTTCGGTTTTATATGTCACTTAGTATAGATTCAGGAACATGGAAAATTTGTGATTTGAGAATCATAATACCCTTTCAAACAGGTCAATAAAAAATTGAAAATTGACCCATTGGGTAGCGAATGTGTGGGCCTATCGGATTTAATTTGCAACAAAATATCTAGAATCTTTTTTAATTGTGAATGCAATTGTTTAGCAATTAGAAAATAGGTACACACGTTACAAATTGTCAGTAAGTAGTTTTAAGATGGAAGGTGTGATACTTTTTTTGAAATATCTTTTTATAAAATCGTAGACGATTTGAAATAGAGATTTGTTGAAATTTAGTACGTCTCTAGCTGAATCGAACAAAAACTAAAATTCAATGCAAAATCTTGCATTCTCGCGCTCTAGACGGCAATGACAATTTCTGGTTTTAATACATTTTTCCTAAAAAAATCCAGGTCATTTTCGGCTATAGAAGCCGTCTTGAAGCTGCAAATTCCAACAAATTATAACAAAATTGTCTGAAGGGTTATGATTTTTTTTGCGTAAATCTACTACACAAAAGGCTGAAATCCGATATCATGAAACCAAGGCATTTTCGGACCTGTTCATAGGAATTCTTCTTCGGGCCGTCGTAATCGTCAGTCGTTCGTACAATAAATTGTAGGACCCTTATGGGCTGATTTTCTTAGTTTTCCACTCCTCCGTGTCAGCGCTCTATTTCAGGTTATGTTACAAATATCTATTTGCCATCAAACTGTTTATGATTTTGATTTATATCATTATGTAATATCAACTGAAATTGCCTGCAATCAAAAGGAAACAATAGCTTTCACAAAAGGAGAGCAGGTGTGTTGCCTACACTGACGGAGAAGTATTGTAATCGACAAACATTTTTGGAAACGGGATGTTATGTTTTTGTGATGTTATGTGACATGTACATCATGAAAAACCTCATGTTTTCACTCATTTCCGTCGGTCTTTTATTATTTATAATTTGAGAACTACCACTCGGATGTCGATGAAATTTTTACACAATGTTACTACTATACCAAGGACGCAAACAGTTTATAGTAGATTATTGTAAACTTCAGATATTTGCAGATGATACATTAATATACATATTAGATGAAAATATAAACACTGCTTTAAAAATGCTAAATTGTGACTTGGCAAAAATCGTAAATTGGTTAAATGTAAATAAACTAAAATTGAATACTTCTAAAACAAAATGTATGCTAATAGGGAAATACCTAAATGAAAATACTATCACAGTTAAAATAAATGAAGAAATAATTGAAAATGTTGAATCAATTATATATTTAGGTATATATATGTATATAACTTGAGACGTGGTCATGTAATGCTCCAATGTTTTTAAATAATTTTTAATCTGTCTTTAACTTGTTCTTGTCATATTTTATATAATTTTGACCATTGTACCATGTATCCAGCTCTCACCATGTTACTGGACGTTTCCCTCATCCTATACGTAAACAACAATTAGCAACATCCTCACATACTACTGTAAGTTGAGTCAATTTAAATTCATTTTACACTTTTGTTGCTACTGTTATCATTGTAATTGCAGCTCCTGATGATGATGGCAAAGTCCATTGAATGCTAGAGAGAATTAAAAAAGTATAAAGATTCCTCTTTGCTTAAATTTTGTCGAAGTACCCAACAAAAGGCGAAAGCTTTAATTTTTCACCTATATATATATATATATATATATATATATTTTTCTTTGAGACATTGTCGTCTAGACCAGTACTTCGACAAAATTTAAGCAAAGAGGACTCTTTATACTTTTTAATTCTCTCTAGCTTTCAATGGACTTTGCCATCATCATCAGGACAGTAGTATGTGAGGATGTTGCTAATTGTTTTTTACGTATAGGATGAGGGAAACGTCCAGTAACATGGTGAGAGCTGGATAGATGGTACAATGGTCAAAATTATAAAAAATATGACAAGAAAAAGTTAAAAACAGATTAAAATTATTTAATGTTTTTTAAATAATTTTATATATATTATATATATATGATAGTAAAATAAAGTTTCAGGATTACTATGAATACATTATTTCAAAAATTGCCAACATATAAATTATTTTTATAGGGCTTCTCATAGTCTTGGTACATATTCCAAGAACATAGTTTATAATACAATTATTCTACCGCATTTACTATATTGTTCAACTATATTGTTCACTGCCAATGAAGCTGCATTCTCAAAATTACAAGTCTTGCAAAATAAAGCTAAAAGAATAATATTGAATAAAATAAGTACACCAAAATAAATCTACGTTACAAGAATTGCAGTGGTTGAATATAAAAAATTGATATCATATTTGGTCTTATTTTTATATTTAAAACAAAAATCATCTTTTGCCAGAACATTTAGAGCACTACATAGAATTGAATAATCATTATCACAATTATTATACAAGAGGAATATAGATTTTCATTTACAAAATTCTAATATAACTAGCAAATCAATATTTCAGAAAGGATTACTTGAATTTAATGAACTAAATAATGATATGTAATTTCAAGATATTTAAAAGAAAATTAAAGACATATTTCATGGACAATGAAAATTCTTAGAGATGCAATTTTGTTTTTTTTCTGAATATCTGCATGTTATGTAATTGTTTAGTTTTTTAGAAGAATGTAATTGTAGCAGTTATGCTAAATAAATCTTTACCAAACCAAATCAAACTATTCCTGATATTATATTAACGACATGACAATATATTGTTATTTGCAGGTGATGGACGTGCTGACTGAGAAAAAAGGTGTTTTCACGAGATTCCAAGGAGGTGAAGAATCCGTGTCTTTAACGTCCGAAAGATCGCCGGAATATCCGGATCTGCCATTGACCGGACCTATGGAAGTCAGAGTATACCCAGACGGCACCCCAGTACGAGAAAACAGACCATTACCTCAAGACGAGGACCTGAGACAGTACAAGATGTCTAAAGTGAAAATACCTACATTATAAGTGCAGATAAATGCTCCGAAAAGGAGTGGAAGGGATGGAAACAAACGAACCTCCTCTAATTTTGCAAAAATAATACGAAGAGCGAAACGCGGGTTCAATTATGACCCCTTGATGAGATATAAGGTGTTGCAAATATCTAGTTCTTGATTAAAGGTAGAACATGAACGTTTTTCAAATAACGTTGTAATGGGATGGAATTCCTAAAACGGTAATAATTTTTTTCATCAAGGAAAAATGCTAGAAGTGTTTTGTTAACGTTTGCTTCTTTTCTTCTTGTACCTTGGGATTAAAAATTTTCCAGCTTCTGTGTCCATTATGCAGCTTCAGCTGAGGGAAGTCTTTATGTATATTGCTTATATCGTCTCCGCACCTGCGTAACTAACATTTTACAAATTTACAGGAGAGCTTTAAATAAGATTGAAAATGACACTACTGATGAAGCACGCTTTTCATGAAAGAATTTTTCCAAAACATTGTATTTTTAGCTGTTCTTTCCATCATTATTTCCACCGCCATCTATCTGCCATATGACGTAGACGTATGTGCATATGTCATACATGATAGGCGCTTGCCTGCGGTGTTGCCGGATTGGCTCCTCATTTAGGGAAAAATATGAAAGTTGAAAATTTATATACATATGTAATGTATATTAATTAATGAATCACAAAAAACGAAAAACTGAAACAAACAAACAACAGTAGCAAAATAAAAGGCGATTCCTAATAAGTGTAAATCAAAAAATAACAGTAGTAAGCTAAAAAAATGATAAATTATAATTAATTATAAAAAACAAAAAATAAAAACAGTAGTAAAACAAAAACTAATTCCATGTAATTATAAAAATCATTTACGCCCTTACGTGCGGAGACTGACGATATGATACTCTTATTATGCATGTAAAAACGTTGATACCTCTATCCGCCCTGAAGATTGTTTTTTCTATATCCTGCAAGCACAAATTCAACACCCTCTATCTCAGTAAGGAACCTTCTAGGTTATTTTTGGACCCAGAAGGATTATAACTGTCCAGTTTTAACTATCTGATATGACAGATATGGAGCACCTGTTTTGCATTCAGAATATGCAAAATGTATCCTTTGTATATTTAAACAGATAATACTTATCCAGAAAGCGTTTACATAAACATGTTTGTCTCGTTTGTTTTTATCTCCTCCAGAAGATTTCTTGAGGCCTATATCAACAAAAATTTGTGATATTTTTTCGTTTACTTCATGCTTCTTCATTTGTAAATATTTATTGTATAGTTGTTTTCATGTGCGTGCTTGTTGCGAGTGATATTTTTTAATTTATTGTATGAACTCATTTTCTTTTTTAAGTATTTATTAGATAGTTAAGTGTTTGTAAATAAATATATCATCACAGGATTATTGTGATGTTACTTAGCCTTCGTGCACCCATTTTTTGGGAGCTTCTGTTTAAGTTAGAAAGTTATACTTATGATGGTCTAATTTCATTAAGAAAAATAAAGAAATCAAGCCGATATTGCGTTTCGTTCCCAATACGCCATTACCATGACGGATCCTAAAATCTCCATTTATTGTATTATTTGAGAAAAAATGGAGAGAGTCTGATAGAAGCCATTTTTGCACCTGTATATTCCCTATGCCTCAAACCCTACCCTCCCAACGAAGTTGAGCATGACCTTGAACTTAACTTCTTAAGCTTCTGGAAATCCCGAAGGTTGCTGTGCTCAAAGCATCACAGGGTCACACAACATACTCCTACTTTGCAGGTACAGCACTGTGTTTTGGAAACATTAAATTGTACAAGATCGTTGGGTCCCCAAGCAATGATAATAATCCTCAGGCCTCAGTGTCGCTGCTAGTCTTTTTTTTCCAGCTCACCAGCAGAGATCGGGTTGCCTTTATTTAGAGATAAAGACGTCCATCCTTACCACTAGGCCCTAGAATGACAGCTCTCGAGCCTGATGGCGATGTCTTAAGATACTCATGTATTTCAGAATGCGTTGTCTTAAAATCCACTCCTCGACTCCTTTGTTATTTTTCGCAATCTGCGCGGATACACTGAGGGCTAGCCTGTAATCTAAACAGGATCTCTGAGTGCGTCTGCCATTTGGCACATTTCCGGACCATCTTGCAAAGTTACCCGCCTCTGTTGCTAACCCTCAAGCATCTGAACAAACCAATTCTGTTACATCTCCGTCAATATGAACAGAACAGAAAGCGTACTTCTCCACTTTATGAATACTCATATTTTTTCTGCTCTTGGGTTTTATCAGACACCAACCGGTTCCCTTTTTGTCTGGCATCCTGTTTCCCACAACATCGCTGGCCGGTCTTCATTGAGAAAGTCGGACTACGTTGTTATAAATGGTCAAGTTCCAATAAGGGTCAGACATGAAGCTCGTCTAAGAGGCTTTATTGACTCAGATGTTGGTATGGAAATATATACTATAATTGACTAAAATCAGGTTCCAGCAGCTACACAGTTTGCCGATAAAGAGCAAGGAACACCGGACGATAACAGAGTCGAATGATTAACGTCAACATCTTTCGGATCAACTGCACGCCATCATGGACGTCTTTCCACATGCCCAAATACCATAGCTATATCAAGAGTGGCCCCCAGTATGAAACAAGCAACTTTTAGACGTAAGCCCGCTAGGCGAGTACTGCTGTTGTTGGATGCCAATAAAGTTGCTCTTGTCACGGATCTTTTAAATGTGTTTTACGACTCCAGTTGCCCCATAGATCGCGGACAGAAATCATCCCACCGCTCTTTGACACAAATCTATTCCTTCGCATTAATCAACTGTGATTTAGGGATTTTTTTTTAAAGTAGCAATTCTTAAGGCTTTTTATGCTTGTGAAAATTCTCTCCGTCCCATCTGGCAACGCTGTCCTTTGACAGATTCGCCAAATGAACACTTTCCTAATAGTTACAATAGTTAGTAATATCGGCATAGGTATCATGTAGAAAACCTATAAAACATCAAGAAAAAACCTATAAGATGTCATCTTGCAATCTAGGTAGTTTTTAGGGCGCAAACAGTCATTCCACGTTTGCTCAATAAGATCGTTGTGAACGTCCATCTAAGGAGGAATCACTCAACTAAGCTAAACGCATTATTGGTTGCATATGTTTTGTGAGGCCAAATGGTCCTTGTCTGTAGTTCTTATCTCTGAGAAGAAAGTTGATTGATTAGCAAGATCGCAACTGGATGATTATGTGTATTGGTCTGCATGTGTATAAAATCAGTGATATATCAGTTATAAATTACGAAAAATTGAGGAGAATTACGGGAAATCATCACCGCGCCCGCGTTGTGTGTAATTACTGTTAGCATGTATATGGCTTGTAATTCGACAGTGAACAGTGATTATAATTATATTTCTTATCTCTTTCATTTTTGAAATTCAGCAAATTTGTATATGTAATTTCCAGAATGGATAAGAATAAGTGGATACGCAACTAATTTCTAGCTATGAATCTCAATTAGGTGTATTTGAGACAAGAACCTAATTTAATTATCATCAACACATACAACTTACAGCTTAGACCTCGAGTAATGCCATCTCAGAAGCAGATTTTACATCACATCAGAACCAAAGATTGAACAAGCTTCATGCCGTTTAGGCAACACGTACAACTAAGTGCTAAGTTAATATCTTGTAGAAAAACCTACATAATGTCAAAAAAGATCGGCATAATGTCACTTTTCAAGATACGTGATACCCGTGCGGGCTGTTTCAATCTGCAAAACTTGAAATGTATGAATGATAAATAATTGTAGAATAGATTACAGCAGGGCTGCCTGGTAAATAAAGTGTTCTACTTCAATTTACCGTCCATAAAAATCAAGTTTAATAAAAAAAAAACGAAAACAGGTAACTGCAGATTTAGAAGAAGCTGTATCTCGTACTAGATGCTCAGATCTGATACCCTGCGCATGCGCAGTAGCTGATACTCTTAGTATATAGTCCCGAGTTGACATTTTCTATAATTTTCTCGAATTGCTAGCAATTCTCAATACAAAATATCCTCAAAGACACGATTATATACAATCCTTGGCTCAAACTCAACTAATTCTACGCGGCATGCGGCAGCCATTATAAGTTGGATCTCAGGAATTTCTGTCTCTGGCCCAAACTAACCTCTGTGCAAAGCCTCAGCAGTGAACAATTTGGAAAACTTACCAATAAAAAAATTCGTTTGCATCTCACATATTTCTTGTAGTACTATTATAGTTCAACATCGATCCTTTTTTTCAACTTTTATTATTCAGCTGTTTAATATTACTTTGACTTGGCTATTGCCAATAATGGTGAACTCGATAAACGTTATTAAATTCCCATTTTTTTTATTTTTAATGGAATCAATTTCATTAAGTCGTTACATCTAGATATGACCATGCGAAGTATACTTTTTTCAATTTAGAGAATTTGAGGCTACAAAACTAAAATCTTTCCCTATTTTTAAAAATCAGGAACGTTCCCGCCTTCACGCTTTAGATCAATTGTGAATAGGGCTCCGTAGGTAGTGCTAAGAGCTATATAGGAGCTCTCTTTCTATTTTTGACGAATCTGCAAAGTACTACTCACAAAAAACCTACTTTTTTTAATTGTAAATTATAAGCAATATTGTCCTCTCAAAAACTGAGGATATTAAGTCTCCCCATTTCCCAAATTCTTACCCTGAAACAGTTGGAGCCTGAAACACGACCGCAAATCTTTGACACGCGCATGCGTCGTGCACCCAATTTTAATTAACAAAGTACCGCTCAGATGGCGCAAGTTTGAAAGGTGAAAGAAAGGCATATGGCGTACATTTCTATTTTTGCTAATTTAAATAGAATCTAAAAAGAATTTTATGCGCGTTGTGAGTATATGAAGTTTGAAAGTGAATCTCATTTATATTATCGTATATAAGACAAATATTTCCATTGAAATATCAAGTTTAGAAGAGATACATGTTTGTGTGCGTATGTTAAAGTTTTTGTTTACGAAGGATCTGTGATATTAAACTTAGTTGTGTATTATACAGATTTTCTTTATACAATTTTTCGATTATTTATTGTAACGATATAGATTAGCCTTACTAGTTCACTTAACTATTGTGAAAAGAGTGTAACCAAAGAAAATCCGTGCTATGTCGCTGACAGAGGCGTCAGAAACAGAGAATATGCAGGTGAAGATTACTTCCAGTGACAAGCAGGCTAAAAACGGTAAGTTACCTGTCAGATACATTTCCCTCATTAACCTTTTTGTTTTCTTTCTCTTCAGTTTTTCTCTGGGATCGATTGTATTCATCCAACCTTTAATTTACCGCGGCCCATTTTAATTTTTTTTAAAA